TAATTTCAAATCCATTAATATTGGGAGCTCAATTGGTAAACAAGCTAATTATCCTTAATTTCCTTTATATTTCTAAAAAATATTTAGTAGAACATACATATTTAAGTTTCCCTAAATTGCAAGTCCTAAGACCTTTTGCAATTATCAATACACATGAGTTTTCATTCAAACCGCTTAGACAATATCTGGTTGTGGTGAGACAGATATGACACCTCTATCCTTAATTAGAGGTCTCGGGTTTGAATCATGGAAATAAAAAAAATTCTGTTAGAGAGCGATTCCCACTTTAATAGGCCTTACACGGTGCGAGTTTTGATTAGCAGACAAGATTTCAATGCGGATATCAAGCACCAACTGGAAGACCAAAAAGAAAATATTTTTGTTGGTCATCTAGGTCATTTAATATTTTCATAATATCATAAGAATAGGAGATTCATAATCCTTCCTATTTCTGACAATCATTTTGTGATTTCTAGCCATTAATTGGGATCCTCTAGCAACTAAATCATGGTTCCTTTCATGCAAATTATAACACATAATTGTATCACAATTAATATTAATTAAAGAAGTACCGGCAGACTTATTATGCCAGCATTTTTCCACTCACATTTCCCTTGCAAGTTGGCCATAATGATTATCTCTATTAATTATCTAATAATAACTCTGACATTGATTTGGAATAAATACTAAAATCCTCCAGTATTAGCTAGCTACAGTAATAAACAAAATCAACTACCAAAACTTTGGCACTTGTCTCATACTCCCTCTGTTCACTTTTACTTGGCATGTATACTAAAAATAGATTTTCATTTTTACTTGTCACTTTACGCATATCAAGAGAAAAACAGATTTTTTTTCCTGTTATACCCACTGTATTTATTACTCATTTCAAATCATTCTCCCAAATCTAATAAAATATACATCAATTAATACGGGTATCATAGTAAATTATGCACTTCATTTATCATTTCTTAAGGGTAGGGGTGTCAATGGTTCGGTTCGGCCGGTTATTTTATAAAATTTGTACCATACCAATTTTTCAGTTATTCTATTATGTATAACCAAAATTAGACTTTTCGAAATCGTCCCAATCATGTCGGTTTCTCTTCGGTATCGGTACGGTTCGGTAAATATTCGGTAATTTTTTTAAATGTCATGTAAAAATTACTAGTAGAAGTAGAATGCAATAACATACGTATTTTTATAGGACTTAGCAAAATTCTCTAGACATTTTTACAGTTTAAAAGGTGATAAATTACGAAAATATAAAAGGTGGCTAGAGTATAGATCCATCAACTATTCTACATCAACGTAAAAAAAAACTAAGCAAATAAAAAAAAATATATAAATCACACGAGTGTAAGATATTGACCAAGCTGGGTCTCAAGAATAAAGTTTATAGAAGATTAAATATTCAAAAAGATAAATCTAAATCTACGAAAGGAAACATATTCAATACATTGTAGTTTGTTACTCATAATCGCTACAATACCTTGTGTTTTGCTAGTGAATATGCTGGAAAAAATTTAATTTCAATAGGAGTAGCATAATAGGTTTGGGAATTAGGATTTTAAGTTTAATTAATTATTCGTTGTCTCGTAAATATTTCATAATTCCAAGGCCCCATAAAAAATTTAGTGCTTTATTATTTTTAAACTTAATATATAAATATATTTTTCACATTGTAAATTTATTCGGTACGGTTCGGTATTTTTTCGGTTTATTTTCATAAAATAAAAAACCTACCCTAATTATCATTTCGTTATAGATTTATATAAAAACCTACGGTTTTATTATAAGAAACCTAAAAATCGGTTCGGTACGGTACGGTTTGGTCGGTTTAGTCGGTTTTTAAATATCCATTGACACCCCTACTTAAGAGTAGACTATCTACATCACAGCCTCTTAGAGTGCGGTTCTTCTCAGAATCCTAGTGAATGCATAATTCGTGCATCGGGCTGTTTTTTTTTTTTTTTTATGCAAGTGAGAGTTAAGCTGAAGTGTAAAGATTATCTATGAAGATCTAACAACCTCAACTTTTGAAAATCTAGAATGGTATCCAATTTGACTTAATAACTAGTATAAAATATCATAACCACTCATATAGTAGAATAATTAATTCAATTGCTGTAGTAATGCACCTGCATGAAAATCATGGAATTACTAAGCTTTTGTTGATTATGTTTTTTTTGTCTGATATTGAATGGATGCCTTAAAATTTCAACCTGATAACACAATGTTCGGTAGAAGATCCAACAACCAAAGCCCTGAATTCAACCCAATGCATAAAATTAAATTTAAGAAATCCAAACAACCTAAACCTTTAGAAAAATTTTAAGTGGGGTTTTAATTTGACTCACCAACAAATGTAAAGTTTCATAAAAAAACATGTAAAACAATTATTTCATTAGTTGTGGTCATGTACTTGCATGACCTTTAATTTCTGCAGGTAGTTAAGAATCAATTTATCATGTTTTTCTCTTTCTTTTTTTTTCTTTGTTTGTTTCTCACCTGTATTTAGTAGGGGTATTATTACTTTTAACCAGTGCTAGAAACTATTTATATCAGTAATCGGAAAAGTATATAAAATTTGTATAATATATATATATATATA